GCCCTTCTGGCGGCGGCGTTCTGCAATCGCACGCACAGCCGCCACTGCCGGCCGCCCGAGTTCCTTTTATACCACGCCCCGCCCACACCGCCTCCGCAGGACGATTTCTCCTGCGCGCCCGTGCGAAAAGCGCGGGGCCGCAACGCCGCCTCCGCAGCGTTTCTTTTCCACAAACCCGCCCATCCCATCCGCCTGCCAGCCAGGCCCGACCGCGCCGGACCGTCCCAGCCACCAAACACACACGGGCGAGGCGCACCATCGCGCGGGGGCGAACGGGCGGTTTTTGCCGCGCCGGCCGATTCGGATCTCCGCGCGTACACAAACAAGTTGCCAATTCCTCTCCAGCCGGGGGCCCCGCGAGCCCCTAAAAGGGCCTGTTTTTGTCCATCCACTTTCGTCCGGGGAGGCGGCCATAAAAGAAGTGGCCGGCGCCGGTCTGAAAGGCAACGCCCCCGCGCGGGTTAGGACGCGCAGCGTAGACGCGCGCTGGGCCGCGCCGGCGGAGGGGTCGCCGCCGGCGGGGGCCCGCTCCCACAAAAGCGAGAACTCGATTGCGGCGCGCAGGGCCGCGCCTCGGCCGCGGCTCGCCGGCGACTCGAGCCGGGAGCGGGGCCACAGCGGCGGCAGCGCGGCGGCGCGCGGGTGACGCTGGCGCGGGGCGGGTGAGGGCGCGACGGCTGGCTAGCCGACGGGACGGGGCAAGGCGGGACGAAACGGGACGCCCGACGAGCGCGGCGCGCGCGGCGGTCGCTCGGAACAAAGCAACAGGAAAGGCGCCACCCCGCACCCGGCCACCGCTGCTGCTGCCCGCCGCCGCGCCGGCGGCGCGGCTGCAGCCGGCGACAGCCGGGATCGAGCAGGCGAGCCGGGGGCGGGGGCGGGGCGCCGAGACGCAACGGCGTCGGAAGGGAGGAAGGGGCGCGGCGGCAGGCAGGAGGCCGTCGGCGTTCCAGCCCGCAGCAGACGACGAGAAGACCGCAGGCGGAAGGAAGGAGGGCGGCCGCGCGACCCGGAGGCTGTTGCTATGGCGGCGGAGGTGCCAGACGACGCAGAGCGAGATGGAACGGAGGGGGTACAACAACAAAGCCGGCCGGAACGCGCGCGCAGTTCAAGTTTATTCGCGGTAATAACATTATACCCAGAGCAAACTTGCTCTCGCCGCCTGTTTTGTTTGCAAATTGCACGGCACACTGACGGGACGTGGGGAACAAAAGCGACAGAATTTGAAAATGCCACGAGATGCATTAGAGAAGTGGGCGGATGGAGGAGGAAGGGGGTGGGCGACGCGAACGCATTTTACCGAAATTCTCGGGTGAAAACGCTGTTCGCTATTCCCTGTTAATTCACGTTTACTTTCGCGCGGTTATTTCGTACTTGTTAACACGCGCCCCGGCGAACGCAAACACGCCTACATCACGGCGCCGCTGTTATTGTTGATTTCAGCGCCCGCCCACTGGCCCGCTTCCAGAGCGGCCGATGTGCGCGCGAATCCCGGACCGCGCTGCGGCAAAGGGAAGGAATGCTTTTGAAGGTGTGGCGACGCGGCGTCTCGACCAGGGTTGCTGATGGTACACCAAAATTCCTCAAGCACTTCACTGCCGGGAGGACTAGGGCGTTCTACCTTTGCATTTGCGGAATAGAACGGCATTCCTGAAATGACTAAGCCCTCACAGAAAGTACGTAAGAAATCCAAACGAGTGGTTGCGAGGCGAAGCCTAAGAACATTTCAGTACCATTGCCACGGAATTTCCTTTTGAAGTATCTTCGAGTATTAGTGATTACTAATTACCGAGCATGCGACCTCGGTAAAATACAAAAGCAATGAAAAAGTTTCGATTTTGACTTAAAAAATGCAAATATAAGATTGTTCGCCTAATTTCATTCAGCGAGTTCTGACTGGATTATTTTACACGATCACCTGTGCTTACGACACAGCTGACGTCAAGCGAAGAGGAAAAAAAGAAGTATCAGTATTCACGTGTCCTGTTTCCAAACAGACGATTTTTCAAGCTCCAGTACTGCATTTTCCACGGCCTCGAGAGCAGACCACTAGTAATGAATGTTTTTGAAACTGCGTTCAATTCTTGGTTGCTTTTTTTTAATTATTATTTATTGCACTTTTAAATGCGAATATTTTAGACACTATTAAAATTATCCATAATGCAAAGCGATTCTGCCAGCTACAGGGAGAATTCTGGGACATTATTTAGAATTCCCGCATAGCATTTGTATAAAATGATTTTGACAAACTAATTGAAAATTGTAAGCCAGTAATTTGCACTCGAGAACTCAATTTCATTTTTCGTGGAACGGTAGATTCAGTGGCGGGTTCAGGGGTGAGGAATGCTGGGTGATTGCCTCCACCAAACAAACTTTTCTTTGTCATACCAGCCTAAAGAATATTCTCTTTATGATTTTTTTTTAAATTTCAAGCGAATAAAAACATTTCACAAATATTTAAGCGAGATTCAAACTCAAATTATTGTCCCAAAATATTTGTTGAGATCCGTCCCGGAGTAGCTCAGCATCAAAATCGAATTTGCGAACGTACAACTTTGGGCTTCCCGCACGCATCTTTTCCGGGAGATTTGTGAGCATTCATTACCAACTAACGGGTGCACTTTCACACCCGCTGCAGTGTTGCTGTACCAGCTCTATCCAATTTTAATACTTCGCAGCACAGTCGGGGAACAGCGCCTTTCTTTGTCCAGAGCGGAGCTGCGCTGCGCTGCAACGGGCGCGCCTTCGACAGCACACGCGCTGCACGCCGCTCGGGCGGGGCGGGGAGAGGCAGGAAAGAGGCGGTCGCGCGGGAGGAGAAGAGGGCGTTCAAAAATAAACTTTCCATTTTCCGTTCGCTTCCCTTCTCCCCTGCCTCTCCCGACGCGACCACCTTCAACAGACCTCTCCCCCGCCGCGCGCCGCGACCGTCTCGGCGCGGCACGGCACGGCTACTGGCTCCAGCGGCCCCTCTCCACCGCCCGGCCACAGTGGGCGAGATTGGGCGCCCGCGACTGCACCTCTGCCTTGGGGGCCCTGCCTCCGCTCGTCGCTGGTCGCGGGCTGCGGAACTCGGATGGAGGTGTGTGTGATGAGAAGTAAATTCGTGGATAAATGTAAGCAGTTGTCTACCAAAACCGGGGCAAACACGATGGGCTGATAATGTGGCAAGACGAAATGACGGGAGAGCTACTAGCTAGGCAAAAACGACAGAACGAATAGGAGAATGGGGTAGCGCCGTATTGGGAGAAAGAGAGAGAAAGAAAGAGAACAAGAGAGAGAAAGAAAGAGGACAAGAG